TCCCACATAATGTACTGCACCCCCATAGCAATACCAGGAATGAGAATACCTCAGCCTTCAATGAACTAAGAGAGGCATGAGGCATTGAGCTGACAGGACTGCTAATTCTGCATTCTTTAAAAGTTCTACAACACTTTTTCGAAAGGCATGAAACCAGTCAGGCTTATGCTGTAGCAACTTGGCATTAAGATCTGAAGTTACTACTGCGCAAAGGACTCTGAAAATCAGGCATTACATAGTACATATTACATATACCAATATTCAAGTTTAAATAGACAATCTCAGATGTAACATATTAGTGTAACATTGTTATAACTGGATACCATCACAATTTTCCCATCAATCACCTAAAAATCAAACTGACTAGATTCTTGACTTTAAAACTTACTAGTCCAAAACATGATGAGAAAGTTCTATACAAACTTACATAAGGTGCTCACTCTTGCCACTTCTATTCAACATAATGCTGGAAGTACTAGCAAGAGCAATCAGACAAGAAAAAATAAAGAAAAGGCATCCAAATCAGAAAGGATAAAGCAAAATTATATGTTTACAAATACATAATCCCATATGCAGAAAACGCTAAAGACTCTATTTAAAAAAAAAACTATCAGAATAAATGAATTGATTAAAGTTGAAGAAAACAAAAATCAACGTACTAAAATCAGTTGTGCTTCTTTATATCAACAACCTATACAAAAAGAAAACTAAGAAAACAATCTCATTTATGATAATATAAAAAAATATTCCTATTTTAATAATGCAAATCATGTATTGTCATGGTATATCCACTATCCTCACTAAAAGTTTCTTTTTAAAAAAACGAAGTGGACTATAACCTGTTCAAACATAATATAACACCACTCAAAGCCTGGTTCTAACCTTTTCTCTCTTTTCCTGCTGGGACTCCTACAACGTATAATTAGTCTGTTTAATAGTATCACAGTTTCTTTAGGCTCTGTTCTCTTTTTTTCAATTCTTTTTCTTTCTTGTTCTCAGACTTGATAGTTTTCTCTCCTGTCATTTTTCACTTTTTCCCTTTACGGAGCCAGCTGTTAAAGAAAACAGAACCTTTCTACATGGTTGGTGGGAATGTAAATTGGTGTAGCCACTAGGAACAGCATGGAGGTTCCTCAAGAAACTAAAGATAGAGTTACCATATGATCCAACAATTCCACTCCTGGAATCTGTATGAGGAAAAAAATGAAAACACTAATTTGAAAAGATATATGCATCTTGATGTTCATAGCAGCACCATTTACAACAGTCATGATAACATGGAGGCAAACCAAGTGCCCATCAAGGAACAACTGGGTTAAGAAGATATGAGATACACACATGTGGCACATGCACTGGAATATGAACTCAACCATAAAAAAGAACGAAACACCTCCATTTGCAGCACTGTAGACACACCTAGAGAATATAATGCTTCGTGAAATAAGTCACACAGAGAAAAACAAATACTATATGATATCACTTATATGTGGAATCTAAAAATACAAATCAAGGTATAGGTAAAACAAAAAGAGGCTCGAAGATATAGAAAACAAACTTGTGGTTACAAAAGGGATAAGGGAAGGAGGAAGGAACAAATTAGGGGTATAAAATTAACAAACTACTATACATAAGATAGATAAGCAATAAGGATTTACTGTACAGCACAGGGAATTATAGCTAATTTCCTATAATAACCTATAATGGAATACAATATGCAAGAAACTGAATCACTATACTGTATGTATACTGGGAAACTAATAAAATATTGTAAATTGATTATACTTCAATGAAAAAATAAAAAATAAAATTTAAAAGTATATTCTGCATATAAATCCTCAATTATATGTGTGATCAGAGCTAAATAAGTTCTTAAAATTAAAACAAATAAACAAGCAAGATAATAAAAAGAAATATAACAAAGTTTCTAAAAAAAAAACAAAACTATAATAGCAAATCTACATGCCTAAGAAAACTAAAATTTACTCATATCGACCACTGTTTCTCCTAACAGTTCTTAAAACTTTAAAAATCAAACTATGTATATCAAGTATTTTGAGGGAAAAAATCTGTCTGCTTTCCTCCTAAAATTTATTTCTAATTATTGTTGCATAAGTTAAGGAGTTCAAAAGTAAAATAATTTTAAAATATAAGTATCAACATGAACACAGAAAATAATTCTCAACTTTTTCTCAAGATAGTTGTCTTTATTGCTCTACAGGACAAGGCTAGCAAAATAGAAAACTCCAAGTATACAGTCCACTATTTTAAATAACTTCACCAATGCTTCTTTAAGAGCAATGGCCAGAAACCTAACTGTACACAGCTAAATTAAGTTACATTTGAAACTTTTACTGTGAGGAAATTCACCAAAAAAGAACCCTGCCACACACACAGTACAGTGGGTAATAAGCCCAACTCTTCATAAATTTATTTCTTAAAAGAATAAAAATAGCAAAAAGTTGCACTTGAGGTGAGACTGTATGATACCACAGGCTTTTTGACAGGGTGTCCGTATTTGCTCTGTGTTTGTCCTCAGACGAGGAGCCGCCCTTAAAGCCCACAAACTTTTCCTGCTCTTTCTCTCCGGCCACAGTAACCTTTTGTATCCTTCCTTCACTAGCAGCATTCTGCCAAAGACTACAGGAAGTATATTAATACACAGAACTCGCCTTTAGCAACTTCAGTCTGAGTATTCCAAATAATTTTACCAATACCTCAGTGGTTAGGTAACTGCAGTAAAAAGCCAGACTAAATTTTACCCTAATACTTAATGCTATTTAATAACTCACACTGCTGCTGTTTTTAGAGATTCATTTGCTCTATTTGTATAAACAGATACGCCATATATCTATTATTTCTGGAGAATTACAAAATGAATTTCACAAACTGTGCTTAAAAATAAAACATTAATACTCTTATAGGAAATTGAAAGTAGCAAGAACCCTGAAAAAATTCAGGGCTCAAATTGCTTCAAGTGTAAATAAGGATATACAGTATTATTTTCTTTCTTTCTTCTAACATTCCCCTAAAAATGTATTACAAGTTTAGTCTGCATGTACTTGAGGTACTATTTTTCAAGTTGCTGTCATCTGATCAATCCCACTTAAATTCTTTTCCTTCATATTTTTCTATTGGGACAGCTCATCTGTATGATCTCTGAATCTCACAAATACTACTCAAACTTTTTAGAGCATTAATTCTTTGTGTAGATGATGACAACATAATAACTTTCTATAAAGTAATAACCTCTATGAAGTAATAACTTCATTCTTTTCAACTGAGTATAATGCCACATCAGTTGTTTTGAAGAGAACTTTATTTTTTATTTTTAAATTTTATTATTATTCTTTTTGGCTGCATCGCACAGCCCATGGGATTTTAGTTCTCCAAACAGGAATCAAACCCTTGACAGAGTGCAGAGTCCTAACCACTGGACCACCAGGGAACTCCCTGAAGAGAAAGAATTTAATACATTTAATTAGAAGTTAATATACAACCATCAAAGTTCTGTAAGTGCTAGGACTTTTTTTTTTTCTTCTTTTTTGGGCACTCATATCCACAGAAGCTGAAAGTGTGCTCAAAATATTTTCTCAACACATGAAAAGTGGTATATCTTAAACTAATTTTAAAATAATACTTTTATAAGAAACTTAAGAGTAATTCCTTATAGAGCATAGATTTCCCATTCATCTACAGTTCAACTAAGGAAATTATCAATATTCATAAGACTAAGCTCCTGACAGAGATGAACCAAAATATTAAAATGCTTAAAAGAATATTAAATACACTGCTATAAATGGATAACCAACAAAGACCTATTGTATAGCACATGGAAAAAAAGAGTATTAAATATAAAAAAGAAATGAAAACACAACTACCATATTTTAAAAGACTGCTTTAAAATTGGTAAAATTGATAAAGAAAACTAAAAATTCAAAGAAGTTGTTCACATAAATTATGATTCCATTTCTTTTAAATGTATTTAAATAGTCTTGGCTGCTTAGATGATGTACCAACAACAAATAATAGCCAAAACTATGGAACGTCCCAGAAAGGAAGTGTCATTATCAAATATTATCCATTTAGTAGTTGGCAGTATAAATGTTCCACATACTTTCAATTTAACGACTAGCAGACTCTCTAAAGGAAATTTCCACAGCAAAGATAAATGTTCTGATTTTCAGTGGATTTTTAAATGTGTATAAATGAAAGCTAAGAATATACCAGCTTTGGCATTTTTAAAAATTTAACAATTTAAACTGAAATGTGTAAGTTAAAACTAAAACATTCTCAGGTGTTCAATTTTTCTTTAATTATGCCTTGCAAATGTTTTTAACATAACAAATATTCATTTTTTAGCACGAAAAAAACAAAACAAAAAACAGAAAAGGCATGAGATAATCTTGAAAACTGATAAATGATAAAATGCTCTATCATTGTTAAAGATTCAATCAGGCTAGAAAATTGGCAATATCAGTGATGTGCTCTACTTTACCTGTCACCACAACAAACCATAAAACCTCATTAGGCTCAACCTCACCTGTGCAGTATTTTTGCTAAAAATTTAACCTAAATCTAATCATGAAGAAAAAAACCTGGATTATTCGAAAAAGCTTTTTATGAGACAAGTGACCAGATAAGTAAAACAGGTGAGAGAAATCAAATGGAGCAAACTTTCAGTTACAAAATAAATGAGTCATAGGGATGAGATGTACAGTTGTGAATATATATACTTGTGAATTCTATTCACTATTATTTATACTTGTAAATACTTCAAAATATTGTGAATATTATCTTCTCCCAGAATGTTCATAAACTTCTTTGTAGTAAGAAGCAACTCAGCTCCTCATCTGAAGATTCAAACGGAGTAAAAGGAGGAAAAAAGTGAGAGAGCCAAAGAAAAGGAGAATGCAGGGATACCAATACTTCTCTCCAACAACCATATCTGCCCTTAAGCCAAAGAAGTATGAGAGGATGGGGACCTTCACTTGCAAGCTTACCTGTGCATACTCTCTTTCAATAGCAGCCTTCTTCTGACTGAATGTCCTAAAAACACAAATAAAAATAAAAATTCATTACTGAAAATATAACAGTAATTTTATGCAAAGTTATCAACATACCCTCAAACACTGTTTCATAAGCTGTGTTGAGGGAAGGCACAATATGTCAATGATCTATGTATCTAAGAATACCACTGACACCATAGACTGAAGTTAAGACAATCTTAGGACATTTAAATCCTAGCACCACCACTTATTAGCTGTATGACCTTGGTCAAGTCACTTGACTTCTCTGTGCCTCAGGTTGCTATTTGGTAAAATGAGTATAGTAATAGTATCTAACTCAAAGGGATAATGTAAAATTTAGTAAAGGACAATATATAGAGTGCTCAAAATAGTGTCTAGCACAGAGTAAAAGACAGGTGTGACTATAGTGTGTGTGTCCTTTTTAGCTACTGTCAGCAGTATGGCTAGTGCATAGTAGGTATAAAAATGTTTACTGAATATAATAACATAGAGGGAACAGAAAACAAGGTGAAAATCAAATTTTGATCAGTTTCTCCACATGAAATAGTCAAATCATTTCCTTCATTCTAGTCTTTTATAAGAGTCAACAAAGTACAAGAGCACTACATGTTATAGTATGATGAGAGCCTTTTGTACACGTGTATTATATTTCACAGATTTAACAGTAAACAATTTTGACAAGTTGCTCTGTCCATGGGATTCTCCAGGCATGAATACTGGAATGGGTTGCCATGCCCTTCTCCAAGGGATCTTCCCAACCCAGGAATCGAACACACATCTCTTGCATCTCCTGCATTGGCAGGTGAATTCTTTACCACTACCACCACAAGGGAAGCCCCATTTTATGATATTATTATTCATTTTTTAAGTAATTAACAGTATTTTCTTCTATCTTAACAGTACAGGAAGTAACAGTGTACCTTACAAACCACTGCCAGTGGTAAAGAATCTGCCTGCAATGCAGGAGACCCAGTGTTTATTTCTGGGTCAGGAAGATCCCCTGAAGGGAATGGCTACCCATTCCAGTGTTCTTGCCTGGAGAATTCCACGGACAGAGAGGATCCTGGTGGGCTACTACAGTCCATGGAGTTGCAAAGTCAGATTCAACTGAGCAACTTTTCACTTTCACTTTTTACAAACCACAGGCAAGGTAGAGTCAATGAAACATGGTAACATTAACAATTTACCTTGAATATACTGAATTTAACTGGAGGAGGGCATGGCACCCACTCCACTATTCTTCCCTGGAGAATCCCATAGACAGAAGACCTTGGTGGGCTACAGTGCATAGGGTCACAAAGAGCTGAACACGACTGAAGCAACTTAGCACACATGCATGCATGCATACTGGGTTTAAAGGCTTTTCTGTGAGGTGTCAGGTATCTGTGTTCTTAAAAACACTTCAATAAGGCAGAGATATCAGAGTAAAAAGTGAAAAATATAAATAAGAGAGCTAGAATAGAAAAAAGCAATAACACAAAACTCATTTTAATAATTATTTAAATTTACCAACATAATTATTCATCTCTTATATAAAAAATAAAAGTATTTAAGATTTTGCTACATTTGTTTTGGATGAATAACTATTATTTAAATTTAAAAAGGAAGGAAATTCTGACATACGCAACAACACGAATGAACTGTGAGATCTCTGAGATCATTACGCTGAGTGAAATAAATCAGTCACAAGAAGACAAATACTGTATGCTACCATTTATATAAGATTTGACTTAGAGCAGTCAAAATCACACGGACACAAAGTAGAATGGTAGTTTCCAGAAGCTAAGAAGAGGGGATAAAGTAGTTATTACTTAATAAGCACAGAGTTTCAGTTTTGCAAGATGCAAAGAGTTCTGAAGATGGATGGTCGTAGCAGTGGAACAAAATGAATGTACTTAATAGCACTAAACTATACACTTATAAACGGTTAAGAAAACAAATTTTATATGGATTTTACCATAGGGGAAACAGTGGAAACAGTGGCTGACTTTATTTTTCTGGGCTCCAAAATCACTGCAGATGGTGAGTGCAGCCATGAAATTAAGACACTTACTCCTTGGAAGGAAAGTTATGACCAACCTAGACAGCATATTAAAAAGCAGAAACATTACTTTGTCAACAAAGGTCCATCTAGTCAAGGCTATGGTTTTTCCAGTGGCCATGTATGGATGTGAGAGTTGGACTATAAAGAAAGCTAAACACCGAAGAATTGATGCTTTTGTACTGTGGTGTTGGAGAAGACTCTTGAGAGTCCCCTGGACTGCAAGGAGATCTAACCAGTCCATCCGAAAGGAGATCAGTCCTGGGTGTTCATTGGAAGGACTGATGTTGAAGCTGAAGCTCCAATGCTTTGGCCACCTGATGGGAAGAGCTGACTCATTTGAAAAGACTTGATGCTAGGAAAGACTGAGGGCAGGAGAAGGGGATGACAGAGGAAGAGATGGTTGGATGGCATTACCGACTTGATGGACATGGGTTTGGGTAGACCCCAGCAGTTGGTGATGGATAGGGAGGCCTGGTGTGCTGTGGCTCATGGGGTCGCAAAGAGTCGGACATGACTGAATGAATGAACTGAACTGAAAGCAAGAGAACAGACCAAAAAATCTTCTGATAATCTTCATATAAGATGTAAAGGTATTTGTTAAGTCAACATCAGTTTCTCATAAAATCTCTTTTAAAATATTAATGGCTGCTGTTATTAAAAGATGAACAAAAACAAGTGCCAGCAAGGACCTAGAGAACTGAAAAGTCTCATACAGTGCTTATAGCAATGTAACATGGTACACTTGTTTTAGAAAATAGTCTGTGAAGTGAGGAGGTCTTAGGAGGCCTCCAGATTTGCAATTGGTATCAGGAGTGAGAGTTGTCTGGGGATTCCCTAACTCTGTAATTCATCACCAGGATGAGCAGAACACCTAAGAACATTCAATTTATTAATGGTGGTAGTAGAGATGGGACATCAAAACCATAATGATGAATATTAAAAATAAACACACCAACCAGAATGGCTAAAATTAAAAAGACTGGTAAGTATCAGTAAGGATAAAATGCAATGAAACTCTACATGTTGTTTGTGGGAATATAAAATGATACAACCACTTTGAGGGAAAAGAAAAAAATATATTCTTATGTAACTAAACATCCATCTTGACATATTTCTAATGTTAGAAATTTACCAAGAGAAATGATAACAAATGTCCACAAAAACACTTGACAAAAATATTTATAGCACTTTTATTCATAAATAGCCCAAAACAGGAAATTATACCAGTGGGATAATAGGCCAACAAACAGGGATACATTCTTACAGTGGAATAAAACTGAGCAAGAAAAACAAATGAACTATAAGATGATCACCACATTTCTACTACTCTGAGTTACCTGACCTCTTATTTTACAAATGACAAAGTTGAACAATAACATCAGAATGTAAAAAAATCATTTGTTAGCACAGATAGAAAACAGGGGTAAGGGAACTACTACTGGTGACTCTTTCATAAAGAAAACTACAATTTTGTCTTGGAATATAACAGCTGTTTTTAGAAATATTATTACCAAATATATGGCAATAGCATTAAAATGATGACATGAGAATACAAAAAAAAAGTTTATTTTGAACAAGGCAAGTAGAATGAACAACTGAAGCTATACAAATCTGACAGAAAATTATTTTGCTCCTAATAAAAAACATTAATTCACCAACAACATTCATTGAGCATCTTCTGAATTTCAGGTATTCTACTAAATATGCACTGGGTATGTAAAAATGAATGAGACATGGACTCTGCTCTCAAGGTATTTATTAGTATAAGATAAACAGGTGATGCCAAGATCCACAAATAATACAGGCATAGAGTGAAAAGTAGAAAGTGTTTTTATTTCTTATTAATTAGGTAACCTTGGGCAAGTTAATTTTCCTGATCATGTTTCAGTTTCCTATCATGAAATAGGAATAAAAAAAATCTACCTCATATAGTATTATTAGGAGGATTAAATGAGTACATATTGGTAAAGCACTCAGACTTGGTACAGCAAACACTAGAAAAGTATTTACTAAGTGAAAATATCACACCCACAGTTTATAATTACGAAATTTAATCCAGTTAAAATATTAAATATGCAAAGCACTACCAAAAAATATATTTAAAGTACTTCTGGTCTTAAATAACAAAGTCAGAATCTCCCTTCTCCTCTCAGAAATTACCCGAAAGCAACAAATAGAATAAAAAACAAAATGCGAACGTGATCTCCAATAAAACTAGGAAACATGAAATGTAAGTGGAAGAGAGGCCTGAGGACAGACTATTAAATTGGAGAAAGAGGGTAACATATAAGGCATGAGGTTCCAAAACTCAAGAAGATGCGGGGAGTACATTTCTTCAACAGCACTTACTGAAGTATAAAATTTAAACCACATTCCCAACAACAAGAACAAGGGACATAGGCTGATGGAGGAAACTTTGCTGTTTAGTTTGAAGAAACAGAGGAGAAAGTATTAAATTAAAAATCACACAAACAATTTACACTGGCAGAAATTACACTGCTGGTGTAGTAGGAAAAAAAACAGTGAAATAGCCTGTACTATGTATGGTCCTGCAGTAGCCAATCTTCTCTGGCTGAGGAGAAATAAAACAACTCATACACTCAATCCTGGTACAACGAAAACTACTGTAAATGTGAAACACTGTAGCTACCCTAAAAAGTTGGTATCCTAAAAAGTTGTACAGGAAAAACTCTCTTCATTCAAAAATAACCGCAAAGGGAGCAAGAATAGATCTATGCAAATACAAAATTTTAAGAAGAAAAAAAGGCACAGGAAAAACAGAGCAGCTGAGAAACATTCATGAGAAAAATGCTGCCATAGAGCAGATGAATTTTTAAAACTTAAAAACAAACAAAAAACCCCAGTGAGGCAAATACTGCTTCCAGATATGCTTATAGAATGTCAAAATCACAAAAGAGTAGCAGTGGTGAAAGTGGGGTGGTGAAAGTGGGCAGCCTGTCTTGTCCCTTTAGGAG